AGGAAGCTATGGCCTCCCCTGAACGAGAGCCATGTCAAAGCCATTCAGATGGCCATTGCAATTACAAGAAGAGGCGGTCCTGACTATGTGACTTTGGCATTATTAACTCTCTAAAGATGTGTAGTAAGCCATTATCATGGAAACCCAAGTATCCAAATTTTCAGAAATAGGAGCCCTCCTATTTCCATAATCAAACCAAGAGTGAAACTCATGTGTGTTTGTTTGTCTTAATTCTGGCCTTCTCAGATTAATCAGGAAAAGACATTTATGATGCCAACACAGCTAGTTAGTCTTCTTTACAGCTTGAAGGCAAGAAAAGAGAACCAAATGATTTAGGTGAAAATGTGCAACTAATAACTTCATAGGCCTAAAAACAAGAGCTGCAAAGATTATTCAGAAGAAAAGAAAGGTTTCTTTTTTGATGCTACAACTGCTTCCATCTTTTCATTATGAAATGTTTTCTGATTTAAATCTATTTGGGGTTGTCCCAGAATAGCCTGCCTTGGTACCACATGCCAATTTTGAATGGGTCTCACTTTAACAAATCCCCTTTTCTTAGTTAACGTATTTCTTTCTTTTTTTTTCTTTTGAAGATTTCTTGAAGTATCCATTTATTTAAACATTTGCATATTTAAGTTTACTTATGTTTGTACTTTACATATTTGTTCTAAATTTTTGAGGCCAATTATTAAAAATATGCCTGATATATAATACAATACTAAAATAGAAATAAAAATATGGATTACAACATAAATTAAGAAAATGCAAAACACAAGGACACAAAATACAGATACAGGAGATATGCAATGCTATTAGTTAAGTTGTATTTTTGTTAAATACAGATCAAAGCACAATAGAGAAAGAGTGTTCTTTCACATTCTTATCATCTGCTGGAAAACAAGTTTATTTTTCAAGGAAATAAATATTTTTCTACAACTCATTGAAAAATTAATTGTAACATGTGGCTTCAGATAAGATAGAATAAGAGATGCAAGAGATAAAATTAGTTAAGGGTAACATTTAAACAAATGATTTTGTTTCAGAAAGCTCAGCTTTGTCCCTAATGCCAATCCAATAATGAGGACACAGTTTTGATTGAGAAAAAGGAAAAGAGGCTTATTGCTTTGCTAACAAAGGAGAAAAACCAGAGGACTCCTGTCCCAGAGGCTATGATTCTGCCCATCAGCAGGATAAGGGATTATTATTATTATTATTATTATTATTATTATTATTATTATTAGAACTAGAAATGAAACTCAGGGGCACTCGATCACTGAGCCACATCCCCAGCCCTATTTTGTATTTTATTTAGAGACAGTGCCTTGCTTTTGCTGAGGCTGGCTTTGAACTTGCAATCCTCCTGCTTCAGCCTCCCGAGCCACTGGTATTACAGGCATGTGCCATGGCTGTAATTCACTTGTTAATTTGAGAGATGGTCATTTCTGAGATTTTTTTGGTACCATCCCCAAGGTCTAGATTACTTTCTTCCAGTGGTGGGTCTATATTCAAGGACAGATAAATCTGCCTAGGATGGGAAAGAAAGGAAATCTTGTTTCCCCTGAGATTAGGGGAACCATTAGGGAGGAGCAGGAAGAGAGGATGAGAAAGAAATGTGTCCATTTTAAAAATAAGTTGCAGTGGCAGAGCAGCAAGGGCTATATTCAAAGCAAAAAAGTGGACCACTGTTACATTTCCCACAATTTCTACCTTCCATTTCTAGGGAAAAATGGATGACAACATCTCCAAGCTGCTTCCTGCTGAAAGAGCAAAGATGGGGGAAGTAACCCAAAGTCTTTATTCTTTATCAGATGGTATATGGACAGTTAAGGGAATTCAGCATCAGAGCAGTCAAGAGGTCCCCAGTGGCAGATGGCAGGTGACTGGACAAGGCATACACAGGATAGCTAACATATTTCTCAGGCTAGTTCATGGCCCACACTCTCCTCTCCTGAGTGGTGTCTGGATAGTAGGTCTTCACCTTCCTCCCCAGAGTCTTTTGCTCAGGAAGGTGTGATGCTTGCTGATGAACAGGGCCCAAGGGCACCTGAAAACCAAGCATGCGGCCACAGAGTTGGTTGGCAGGAGCTGCTACTGTGATTGGTGTTGACTGCTGCTGTTTTGGAGGGGCCTCCCGTAATATCCAAGACAAAGCCTTGTTTGTACCTGCCTGATCTTGAAAGGTCTTGGCCAGCCATGTGCTCTCCAGTTTTTCCAGCAAGTTGAACTTTCATGAATGATCTTGTAACTTTGTTTATCTTCTGGCGCCACAGCTGTCAAACTCCGAAGCATAAATCCATTCATGTTGCAAGATGCATAACACACCCAGTGAAGCTGGCATTGACCTTGACTTAATCCATCATGTGTGAACTTTATGCCTTGGCATCTGATTATAGCACACTCACCCAATCGAATTCTTGGGGTCTGTTCAGAATCATCCAGTGAAAAGTCAGCTTATGCAGTGGTCACAAATACCCCCTCCCCCCATATTCAATGCCCTGAGTCCATTCATTCCAAGTTCTACTGGAGCATCAGGTGGGGACTTTGTCTCAAATCATGTTCTCCTGCTGCTTGGGTGTTGTTTGATAGAAAGAGCCACATCTGGACTGGGGAAGGTAGTTCTTTTAGCTTATGGAATTTTCATAACGGCAAGAGAAGGCTGATTATTTTGCATCTGAGGCTAAACTCTAACTAGCAGACATTTAGTTCTTGTAGATACTTTTAATTATCTTCACTTTTGATAGGCAGTTTTGTTGCATTTTGAATTTAATAAATGTGATAAATGACCTTCCCTGTGTTTTCCTTCCTTAGATTATTATCAGGCACTTACTATGCATGAGGTCTTTTGCTTATAGTTTTGGATCAGACTCTTAGTCTTTCCAAGCAAGTGTCTGTCTTTAATGTTCTGTCCCTCACAGGGATGAGCTTGTGAGCAGGGAAGAGTAGGACTAGGGGAAGAGACATAATGCAAGGTTGACCTTGAAGATATCATTCTCAAATAAAGAGCAGTAAACTTACAGTGTCTTCATTCCCTTAGATGACCTCATGCTTTGAATGTTCTATATCAAATCTAGCAAATTTGCCTTGTTTCCTCTCAGCCATAGGATGTCTCACAGATAAAGCCCAGAGTCTCTTCTCATTCAAGTTTCAGAAGAGTGCCTTGGTGAAGTCTGCACACACACAGCCCAATCCTCTCAGGTTTGCAGACTGTTTTTTCACGGGGTATTCTCAGAAGTGCTTGTTTCTCCAACTGACATTTTGGGTACCAAAGACTGATTTTGGTTTCATGACCCCAGTGAGATCATTGACACTGAGTGTCCTCTGTGCACTCTGAAAATATTCTCAGCTTCCTCTTTAGGTTGCACAGAAATAAATGTCTCAGGTTTTACAGCCCTACTGAAACCACCAGTGACCATGAGATGCCTCGTCCTGTCATTAATTTTTGCAAGGCCATCCTCCATGTCCAAATAGATTAGGGAGATGAACCCATCTTCTCAACCACAGAAAAGATAGTCTGGTTCTACCTGTTTGAATATTTGGCCCCCAGCTATGAGCTCAGATGTGATTGTTCTTGATGATCAAAACACTAGACAAAGTATCTTTCAGGCTTAGATTGCTATGTCCTGTCTAAATTTCAAATCTGAAATTTCAGGAACCCTCCCATCAAAAAGGTTATCAAAGATTCAGAATATTATACTTGGAAGGAACCTAAATATTCAGCCGATCCATTGACTTCATCTTATAGAGGAGGACACTGAAGTATCTATAAGATGAAAGGAAGAACCCTCCAGTCCCAGTGAGCTTTGGAAATGGTTCTTCACCTTTGATGAAGTTAACTATTTGGCAAAAAAGTGGAAGTAAAAAAAGATTCTAGACCTTTTTTCCAGTCCCTTGGGGATAGATTAAACACGTCTTCACACCATAACAATAATAAATAAAACTCATTATTTAGATGAGTGGATTGTTCTTCCAAGGGTCTCAAAATGGAATGCTACTGGGGGAAAGTTTTTTCCTAGTCTTTTAATTTGGAAGTAAATGAATGGTTAGAGGGAAAGAAACAAACACATCCACAATGACCCTAGAACGTACAGTGGACCAAACAGCTTCACTGAAAGAGTCCTTTTTATTATAAGCCCAAGTATCTGATAAACCTGTCAACCAACATGAGAAATTTCTCCCTTTTATAGTAGATGGCGGGGGGGAGATGGATTAATTAACTAAATAGCTAACTGATGGGCTCTAGGACTGATCCTTGTTAGAAAGATTCAGGACAGAGTTCTTGCTTGTGAAACTGTACTCTGCAGGTCCATAATGAGACTTGAATGAAGTATTTTGAACCTTTTAATATGATAGTATAGTGGTAGTTTTAGAATGCATTCTGGTTGACCAGGGTATACATGGACATAAATTTTGAAAATCAATTTAGAAGTGTGTACTAAGAGTCCTCAGAAATTCAGGCAACCCAACCTGACTCAGCAATTCCACTTCTGAGAATCCTGTCTTAGGAAATTAAGTAAAATGTAAACAAACTTTTGAGCACAAAATTATTCATGACAGTTATTTATAGTAGCCAACAATTAGAAACAACCTCAACATCTACTAGTAGGATAATGCTAATAAATGACGGTACAAATATTCAACAGTCATCTTGCAGGTGATGTTTACAAGATTTTTAAGAACATACAAAAAATGTTTCTGATCAAACATTAAGTAAATGATTAGGATGCAAAAACTCTGTGTGTGTGTGTGTGTGTGTGTGTGATGTCCAAACATTGCATATACATACACAGACTTGGAGGAAATACAACAAATGGTAAGCAGTATTTGTCTCTGGTAAGATTCCTTTAATCTTTATTCTCTTTATACATTTTTGTGTTTTCTAACTATTCTACTTTTAGTATTATACTCTCATAAATAAAAAATAATTTTACCTTAAATAATCAAAAAAATCGTAAAACTCAAATGATAAAAGTACACAAAGGTGACTCACAACTATTGCTTCTATTTATTTTGGGTTTATTTTTATTTTATTTTTTTAAAGAGAGAGAGAGAATTTTTTTAATATTTATTTTTTAGTTTTCGGTGAACACAACATCTTTATTTTATTTTTATGTGGTGCTGAGGATCAAACCCACGCATGCCAGGCGAGCGTGCTACCGTTTGAGTCACATCCCCAGCCCTGGGTTTATTAAATAGATAAATAAATGTATGCATTAAGGAATATGTATGTTTACTTTTCAGAATCAACTTAAATTTCTCCTCACAAGATTATAGAAGATGTCAATGATGGGTGTCTTCTATAATAACAACTACCAACTGGCCTGGGAATAGCAAATATAATTGTCCACTCTCCAGAGCAGACCTTGCTGTGACCTTTAATGAGCCACAGCATTAGCAGGGAAATTATTGCTTCAGTCTAGTAAACTTTTTTTTTTTTTTGTGGGGGGGGACGGGTAGTAGAGATTGGACCCAGGAGCAATTAACCACTGAGCCATATTCCTCTCCTGTTTTATTTTTTATTTGGAGATGGGGTCTCACAAAGTTTCTTAGGGCCTCACTAAGTTGCTGAGGCTGGCCTGGCAGTTCAGTAAACTTTGACAAGCATGTACTGCATATTAGTTGGATTGTAGTAGCTGCTTCTGAGATTGTGGAATTAACAAGATGTGACTCCAACCATCAAGAAGTACAGGTTGCCTACGTGAGGCAGACCTGAGTGGGTAATTAGCACAGGTGTGCTAAGGACTTCGATGGAGATACTGCAGAAATGCAGTGGGAATAAAGAAGAGCTATAAATTAATTCAGACCCTCATAGATGGCAATTTTTTTTGGCTTACGTCTAAATTTTTAAATAAAAACAATTCACTTTATTTAGGGAAATATTTTTTTTTCAATCTATGGAAACCAATATTCTTTATCCATGAGAATATATTAGTTTTTTTAAGTGTTCAATGGTATTTTATAATATCTTTCTAGGTTTTAAAAATTTTACCTAAGGTGCTGAGAGAACTGGAAATCCTTATGTATCAAAATGAAACTAAACCCCTCTCTCTCACCATACACAAAACTCAACTCAAAGTGGATCAAGGACCTAGGTATTAGACCAGAATGAGCCCAATAGAGGAAAAAGTAGGCCCAAATCTTCATCACACCAGATTAAGCCCCAACTTTCTTAAGAAGACTCCTAAATCACAAGAAATAAAATCAATAATTAATAAATGGGATGAATTTAAACAAAAAAGCTTCTTCTCAGCAAAAGAAACAATCAATGAGGTGAAGAGAGAGCCTACATTCTGGGAGAAAATTTTGCCTTACGCACATCAGATAGAGCACTAATCTAAAATATTCAAAAAACACCAAAAAAACCAACAACCCAATCAATAAATGGGCTAAGGAGCTAAACAGACACTTCTCAGAAGATATACAATTGATCAATAAATGTATGAAAAGATATTCAACATCTCTAGTAGTCAGAGAAATGCAAATCAAAACTACTCTAAGATTTTTTCTCACACCAGTCAGAACAGCAGCTACCAAGAATACAAATAACAGTAAGTGCTGACAAGGATATGGGGGAAAAGGCACACTCATACATTGCTGCTGGGGCTGCAAACTGGTGCAACCAGTTTGGAAAGCAGTATGGAGATTCCTCAGCAAATTTGGAATGGAACTTCCATTTGACCCAGCTATCCCACTCATCTATATATACCCAAAGGACTTAAAATCAGCATATCATAGTAATGCAGCCACATCACAGCAGCTCAATTCACAGATGCCCTTCAACAGACAAATGGATAAAGAAACTGTAGTATATGTACACAATGGAATATTACTCAGCATTAAAAGAGAATAAAATTATGGCATTTGCAGGTAAATGGATGGGGTTAGAGAATATCATGCTAAGTGAAGTAAGCCAATCCCCAAAAACCAAAGGCCAATGTTCTCTCTGATAAGTGGATGCTTATCATCCATAATGGTGGGGAAGGGCATGGGGAAAATGAAGGAACTCTGATTGGGCAAAGGTGAGGGAGGAAAGGGGAGGGAGTATGGGGGCAGGAAAGATGGTAGAATGAGATAGACATTATTACCCTAGGTAATGACTGCACATATGCTGTGACGCTACTTTGTGTACAATCAGAGAAATGAAAAGTTGTGCTGCAATTGTGTACAATGAATCAAAATGCATTCTACTGTCATATACACCTAATTAAAATAAATAAATAAATTTTAAAAGTGTTTTACCTAAATATTCACATATATCCTCTACAGCTTCCTTTTAATAATATGGGAACTTGTCTTACCATCACTTAAGGGCCAAGGACAAGAAGAACAAGACAAAAGCCTCTGTTGACTGACTTTTCTTTTTTACTGCTGTATTCCTATCTGAAAAGTGAAAATGGAAGCAATTTCTGAGCCGGAAGCACTTCTATGTTCAGACACTTTTTCTTCAAGAAACTTTTCTACTGTAGAACTAGTACAGTAGAACTAGTGAGGAAGAACTAGTACTGTAGAACTAGTGGGGAAGAACCCACGGCCATTCTAACTGTCCCCTGCCCTATTTCTCTGGACCCAGAAAGTCTCTTGCCTGAAAGGCAGGCAGGCATCTTTGGGGAGCTGATATTTCTATTTCTATTAGGGAGCAGGACAAGAGTGATAATTGCTGTCAAAGGCCTGGGGCATCACGCTGACTTAGCTTCTCTCCCCACTTGTCCCTCATCCTCATTAATGTAATTTGGGGGGTAGACAAAGAGGGAAGGAAAGACTCCAGTCCCTTAAGGAGATAATGTTGTAACCTAAGTTTGTGTGACATAAGGCTTGTAAACCTGTATGCACAAGTACCAGAGGACATGGTGTTCTGACACACTCAAGTGTTCAATATTTATGGATAGAGCTAGTAAGAGTTTGTCCATGCAGATTTTTAAAAAGGAGGGAATATTTGGCTTGAACAGGAGCAAAACATGATGTTTATATTAAGTGGAAGTTAAAACTGCTTTATTCAAGTTTGCTTCAAACTCAGAGATTCTAAAGGTCTAGTCTTGGTTTCAAGTGAAGCCAAATTTTGTCATTTTAATGATGCATTTAGGAAATGGGGGGAAATGGAATAGAATCGAAGTCTTTGGGCAGTATAAACATAAGCAAGATTGTGATGCTTGAACATGGTTTACCATGTCAAAATCTGCCCTAAATATTTTTATTCTCTGTGTGCTCCAGTGTCTGGGTGGTCTGAACTCATCCTGCAGCCTCTGGAAAGGCGCAGTCTCTCTCCCATCTCTCAGGACTTGAAGCAGTTGCTCACCAGCCATGTTGCACGAACAACATAACCGCCAGATAAACCTCAGAGATACTGCAGACCAATCACTTTAAAACAGTCCAATTAGTTTGAGTCTTGTGTTTAGTTCAAATCATGCCCTCAGAAAGGTCGTGTGAAAACCTCTAAAGAGGATTTGATGACACCATGTTCTCAGAAAACCATCAAGTCCCAGAAACTGAAAACACAGTCTCCTCCTTCCACACCAGAGTTCCAGGTGGGGCCTCCTCCACCACACCACTGGCACCTGGTCAGCCCAGGAGCTAACAGCAATTTGAAAGGAGGTTTCTGAACAGAAAACCCCACTGAGCAAAACTTACTGGGCATTGTGCTGTGAAAACAGTCACATGTAAGCTTTGCCCCAGCTCACAGAGGGCCAGGGACTTGCTCAGCCCGTCAAAGCACCAGTGTCACCAACAGCCTCTGCAATAGCTTTACCTCTGGGCTTCGGTTCTTGCCTGGACCCTGCCATCCACCCCTGCATCTTTTCCTCACACACCTCCTCCACTTGGGTAAGGAAAGTAAGTCTGTTTCTCCTCCAGAGCTGTTTTCTTCCCCTCCAGTGTCTTCCATCCTCACTCCAGTTAAGGCTGCTGCCTTCTACAATGAGCTGCCCTTGCAAGCCTGAAGGCCTGCTCTCTACCTCTTAAGAAAGACAGGTGCTTTCTTTTGTGGTGTTCACCACCAGAAGAATTCCTCCACCAGATCAAAGTCTGAAAAGGCAAAACATGAACACTAACAGTTCCCACAAGCTCCCTTTTGATAGGACATGAGATAAGCAAGTAGAAGCACACAGTTTGCAAAACAAGTCTAGCTATTCACAGAATAACTTAGCAGAGAACAGGACTCATCTGTAGACATGGGTTTTCAAAATCTTAAATTATATTTGAATGGAGAATTCTAAAGTGAGTTTTTCATATTTTCCATGCTCCTAGTGAAACCGTTAGAATCCATGAATGCCTTATGTTTTACATGGAAGGTTTCCCCAAAAGCTCGTGATTGGATTATGAGGTCTATGGTCTAATGGGTGGATTAATCCATTTGATGTATGAATAATTTGAAAAGACCACTGCACTGGATGATAATTTTTAGCAGATGAAGTGTGGCAGATAGGTTACTGGGCCATACCTTTGGGGTTTATATTCTGTCCCTGGAAGCTTGCTCCCTTTTTGCTTCCTGGCTGCCCTGAGTTGAACAGCTTTCCTCCACTAATTCCTTCCACCATGATGTTTTGCATCATCTCAGACCCAGAGCAACAGAGTTGGCTAACCATGAATTGAACCTGTGAAAACATGAACCCCAAATACGTTGTTCTCAGGCATTTTGTCACAACAATGAAAAGCTGACTAATGCACACCTAAAGAAAAAAAAAGTCAATAAAATAAAAAATTAATTATTCCATTCCTACTTTTCTTTTTTTTTTTTAATTTTTTTTATTGTGGGTTGTTCAAAACATTACAAATTTCTTGACATATCATATTCCACACTTTGATTCAAGTGGGTTATGAACTCCCACCTTCACCCCATACACAGATTGCAGAATCACATCAGTTACACATCCATTGATTTACATATTGCCATACTAGTGTCTGTTGTGCTCCGCTGCCTTTCCCATCCTCCCCCTCCCCCCTCCCCACCTCTCCCCTCCCCTCCCCTCCTCTCTCTCTACCCCCTCCACTGTATAACCCTGAGGGTCTCCTTCCATTACCATGCAATTTCCCTTCTCTCTCCCTTTCCCTCCCACCTCTCATCCCTGTTAAATGTTAATCTTTTTCTCCTGCTCTTCGTCCCTACTCTGATCTTAGTTACTCTCCTTATATCAAAGAAGACATTTGGCATTTGTTTTTTAGGGATTGGCTAGCTTCACTTAGCATAATCTGCTCTAATGCCATCCATTTCCCTGTAAATTCTATGATTTTGTCATTTTTAATGCAGAGTAATACTCCATTGTGTATAAATGCCACATTTTTTTTATCCATTCGTCTATTGAAGGGCATCTAGGTTGGTTCCACAGTCTTGCTATTGTGAATTGTGCTGCTATGAACATCGATGTAGCAGTGTCCCTGTAGCATGCTCTTTTTAGGTCTTTAGGGAATAGACCAAGAAGGGGAATAGCTGGGTCAAATGGTGGCTCCATTCCCAGCTTTCCAAGAAATCTCCATACTGCTTTCCAAATTGGCTGCACCAATTTGCAGTCCCACCAGCAATGAACAAGTGTACCCTTTTCCCCACATCCTCGCCAGCACTTGTTGTTGTTTGACTTCATAATGGCTGCCAATCTTACTGGAGTGAGATGGTATCAATCATCAACTTAAATTACACATTTTTACAGATATCAGTAGGGAAAAGCATTATTTGAGCATGGGCTCCTAGTGAGAAATGATCATCAATAAAGTATGGAGATTTCTTGGAAAATTGGGAATAGAACCACCATTTGACCCAGCTATCCCTCTCCTCGTTCTATAACCAAAGGACTTAAAGACAGCATACTACAGGGACACAGCCACATCAATGTTTATAGCAGCACAATTCACAATAGCTAAACTGTGGAACCAACCTAGATGACCTTCAATAGATGAATGGATAAAAAAAATGTGGCATATATACACAATGGAATATTACTCAGCAATAAAAGAGAATAAAATCATGGCATTTGCAGGTAAATGCCAGTTAAGGCTGCTGCCTTCTATAATGAGCTGCCCTTGCAAGCCTGAAGGTAAATTGATGGTGTAGAGAAGATAATGCTAAGTGAAGTTAGCCAATCCCAAAAAACCAAATGCCGAATGTTTTCTTTGATATAAGGAGGCTGATTCATAGTGGGGTAGGGAGAGGGAGCATGGGAGGAATAGACAAACTCTACATAGGGCAGAGGGATAGGAGGGGAAGGGAGGAGGCATGGGGTTATTAATGATGGTGGAATGTGATGATCATTATTATCCAAAGTAAAGGTAAAAAGACATGAATTGGTGTGAATATACTTTGTATACAACCAGAGATACGAAAAATTGTGCTCTATATGTGTAATAAGAATTGTAATGCACTCCTCTATCATATATAAATAAAAAAATATAAAAGAAAATTAAGCCCAATGCTTCTCATATCCAAGGAACTATGACAGAAGCTGAAAGGTAACATTCAAGACACACTTTGATATCCACTTAAGAAACTAGCAATTGTAATAAAGGTTGATTATCTGATGCTTAACTTTAGCTAAAAAAAATGCAAAGAAGACTGGCTTGTCAGTTTGCTGGTGGCCAGTGCAGAAGTTGATCCGAAGGGGATATGGTCTGATGTTAGTGCCTCTCCTTTCTTCCCTTTCTTCCTTTTTTCCCTTGATCATTAGTTCTAAACAATGGTGCTTTTGGTACCATTCAACTATTTCAGAACTATGTAGCATTATAAAATTATGGAACTAATATATCCATCCCAGCTTCTAGTTAGTAATCCAACTATGATAAATGTCTTACTGTAAGAAAACTGTAATAACCATGCAGTTCCAATCTTTTAATTGCCCTTTATCTCACCTAGAGAAGGTAAAAATGTAGGAAATGTTCCTGGGCTGGATTACCCTGTCCTCCCTCCAAGCTCTCTGCAGAAATACTTCTGGTTCTAATCTCCCTGGGGACTCATCTCTGACACTGTAACTTAAGCCTTTTCAAGATCCTTGGGCAGACTTTCATTCTAGGACAATTTTTCTCAGTTATATATTGAACTTCCTAATTTATGATGAAGTCCAAAACATGAGCAAAGATGAAGAATCAAATTTTAGTTTTCTTTATCTACGCATGATCATTTCCCCTGTCCTTTATTGCCTTCCCTGGAAATAATGACTCCATGTTCTTGAAGATTCTCCTCTCCTTTGAATATCTGTAGGACCTTAACACTGTACCCACACCATGGGACTTTATATAGCCTAAAAAACAAAACAAAAACAGCAGACACAACCCCCCAACATTAGTCTGCTACTGAAGAAAGGAGAAATTCTAACCAGCACACCCTGAATGACAACTCACACTGTTTAGATGATGTGCACCATCACCTGCAAAGGACATTCTCACCAGTTAGAAGCTTAATTCAAAAACTACTTGCCTTAAACCATTTTTGACACTGCATTGCACTGCCTCTGCTTTCTGGCAACTACCATCCTTTCTACTCATTTTCTGCTGCCATCCTCTTTCTATTCCTAAGAACTTACGCTTAACCGTCTTCAGGGTACCACTTCATACCCTGGTGATTTAGGCTGGTTCTTCTCCAGTTATGTTACTTGGGTGATGATTATCTTGCTTCTCCTGGTAGCCTGGGACCTTCTTTGATCTGTGTCATCTTCTAGGCACCCAGACCTAGCAAATGAAACCTGAAATTAAAAAAAAAAAAAAGATTATGAATTTATATAAAAGGACAGTGGGGCTCTCTTATTTAGCATAATCAAGACCAGATAATCCATCAGTTCATTAAAACTCAGTGAGTGCAGAAGTACTGGGTGCACCAGAGAGCAAGCAGCCTTCTAACAGCAAGTGCATGAAGGTAGGGACCACAACCTATGAAGAGGGAATGGTGACTGCTAGTTAAGCTCGAGTTGATTGAGTAGGGGTAGTCAATAAAGCCTCTAATCTTTAATTTCTTTATAATACCCACCAAGATTGACCTGCTAGCCTAGTAAGAAAAAGAAGATAGAAAACGTAAGATTTAAGTTGAACAATCTACCTAAACTTTAGACTTTCCCAGAGGCAGCAAGTTCAAGGAAGCAGCTCCTTCAGAAACTGCATTCCACTTACTCAGGACTCAGAATATCTTATGAAAATTGTCAGTGACCTTGGCTGAGGATTTTCATCAAATGCAGATGTTAAGCACAAAGAATTCAAATCCAAATCCCAAAGCCCACGGAACATGCATAATAGAAGTCCTAGACTACTAGTAACTCAATAATAGCATGGTATGATTGGACCAAATCACAGAGATAATTGCAACTTGGGACGTTATTTGTTCATCTATTTGAAATCTTGGAAGGGACTCTGTGCCGCACAGTAAGAAGGCTCTGAGTCTACGCCCTCTCCGTTGTTTGGACAGTGCCAGCCACAGCATGTTTTAACAGCACTGTTGCTCGCTAGGTGCCAATGTGGTTTCACCAGCAAGTGCGGGCAAGGATGTTTTTTAAAAACCAGAAGAATTGCTGCCAAACCAGGGAAACAACTACTAAATCTATCTCCTCTTGAAAAAAAAAAATTCTGTATTCGTTCTTGGTGAATCTGTATCAAAAGCCATCATGTCAGAAGCATACTTAACTCCAGGGCCTGACTGAGAAGCCCCTGGCAGGGCACCCAGACCTGTGATCAAAGTATCAAGTGATCTCCCCGATCCCCTTTTTTGGTTCACATACAGCCCTGGCCAAGCAACAAAGGGAGCAAACTCAGAGGAAATTGAGGCCCTGAAAGGAGACGTAGGTAAAGATGGACAGCCTGGGAACAATCACCCGCTGTGTGAAGAACATCTATCATTAAAGGGGCTTGTTTTTGAAGTTTTGTTTTTAAGCAAAAAGGAAGGAAGAGGACGAAGAGTGGAGATGCAGAAAGCCAAATTCATAAGTATTTGTGTGATTATAACTACTAAAAAGTATCCGTAAATCCTATCAATACATATGCTACCTTCTTCCTCTACTCCTAGCCTATGACTAGATGATTTGCTTCTCAAGAGTGAGGACATTACCTTTTCAATCTTTGCCCTTCCAATGCTTTACATATTACTCCACACAGGGCAGCTCCTCAGCAAGGGCCATCTGGCAGAGCAGACAAGAGCAGGGTCTGCAAGCAGACGACCTGAGTTCAAATCCCAACCTCCAACCACCTCGAGCACATCACATGGCCTGTCTGCTCCTTGCTTTCCTCAGTGGAATGTTAATCACTCAGACAAAATGATTCCTGAGTAGTAAGTTGTAGTAGGTGCTTAATAAACATTGGCAATTATTATTAACTAACTACAACTCACTACTCTTTGTGTACAAGGATCCCCATGACACACTGGTTCCTGGAAGAAAGGACTGTAACATGGAAATGGAATTCTCGGTTAAAATGATATTGGAGCATGGATCATCTGGAGCCATCAAAGTTAGGTTCCCAGAAATAATGGATGGAATGAATGGGGAAAACTCCTACAAACTAATAACCTGAGCAGCAGGCCAATTGTGCATCTGCAGACCAAGTGGACAGTATCCTGACATAGATACAGGAAACCTAAATTGCAGTCTAGCTCTTCCCTTAACTGGCTACATGGTTTTGGTGTTATCACTTGTCCTCTCTGGACTTCAATGTTTTTATATATGTAGTGAGAACATTGTTATTGAAATGCCAGACACTAGAATTTCCTGCTGTGATAGAATGCTTTATATCTGCCCCTGTCATTATTGAACACTTTAAATGTGGTAAGTACCACCAAGGAACTGTATTTTTAGTGTGTGTGTGTGTGTGTGTGTATGTGTGTGTGTGTGTATATGATTAACTTAGATTTAAATGCCCATAGCTACCTATAGCCAGTGGCTACCAAGTTGGGCAGTACAAATAGATTATTTTCTAAGATCTTTCCTGGGTCTAGAGTTCTGTGATTCACAGGGCTCATCTCAGTAAAAACGTGGAAAATAAGTATTGTTACAGAGGATTTTAAGAGCTTATCTGGTCCCTAGGGTTTGTGTACTTTGGAAGGCAACTAAAAACAAATATGTAAAAAGAGACATTTAAGAAGAAAATAGATCTTGAGAAATTAGGGGTGGTCCTGCCTGGAGGCAGCGCAGTACTCTCATGATTCCCAGTGAGATTTTCCAAGTCTTTCAACAAACCCGGTTTGAAATGGCTTACCCTCTAAAAAACAATAGCCCGTACCTGATATTTTTATAGCATTTACTCTGGACAGACTAATTTAATTCCCAACCACCATGTGACATAGGAATAGTATTATTCCCGACTTACAGATAAAGAAAGGGAGGCACAGAAATGTTGAGCAATTTGTCCCCAGGCCATCCAGGATATGAACCCAGAAGGTTAGCTGTAGTGTCTCACTTTGTGAAAATGAAAACAAACATCTTAATGAATAACAGCACACGTACAGAGTAGTGCTCAAATCAATGGTGGGCAGCTGATTAATTTTCATAAAGTAAACACATCCCTATTATTTCCAGAATATTATCGGTTTCCTAGAAGCCTCCATCAATCACTACTCACCCGAACCCGACTAAGAATAATCTTCATGCTGATTTCTAAAACCATAGATTAGCAGAAGGGGTACTTTAACCACTATGTTATATAGCCCTGAAGACAGTATTTGGAAACTACTACATTCTTACAGCCAAGAGAAGAAACACACACACATATCACAAGAGTGGGAGCTATTTGGTGGTCTCAAATCCTTCAGTGGTAAAAATAGGCAATTTATGGACAGGCAAAGAACTCATTCATTTGGTGCATATTTATTGAGCATCTACTGTGTGGCAAGGACCATCCTTAGCACTGGGTTTTCGACATTGATCAAATCAAGTTCCTGCCTCATATAGCTTTTAATCCTTGATCAAGTTCATCAGTTGAAAAGTGTCTTAGAGTGGAGGAGGCTTACTCAGTGGTTTGGGGTGCAGAGACAGCCTTAGGGGTGGTGCCAGTGGTACTGCTGCATCCCAGAGGAGAATCGCTATGGACTTGGTCCCTAGAATTTTAGCAGTCTCCTGGAATTTTGGAAAGGTGACAATTGGAGCTCATTGCATGGCTTCCCACTAAAAATAACTTTATAAACAATTTCTAAATACTGCCTTTATAAGCAATAACTTAAGAAAAGTCTACAAGCTTAATGTAACCAGAAAGATTACAACATGAGATGGGAGATGTGGGAATATTGCATGGTTGGGGGAAAAAGTCACCAGGGAACTCCACCCAAGATGATGAGGAATGATTGCTCTCTACCGACAAGCAACTGAGCAATTCTCACTAATATTTTCCGGAGGGAGAGAAAGACTGATGCAAGACAGTAAAGAGTTCAGAGGGTGTTTCCAAATATATTCTTGTATATCCAAAAGCAAAGGACCAATAATAGTTTTTTAAAAAATTAGCTTCCACATCCTCCTGAGAATTAAGCTCCCCCCATTGCTATGGCCCAGATACGTCTAAGTCCGCCCAGAGAGACTCCTGTAACTGTCCAGTGGCTCAGGGAGAATAGAAAAGAAAGCCAAGTCTTCCATGCACCCACCCGTCTTGCTTTTTCCAGAGTCAACTTGATCTCCCCGCTTGAAACGCACTTGCTAATATGACTCTTGGGAATTGTGCAAACCTACCGACACACCACGAGGTCAGCTGTTTAGACATTGTAGGGTTTTCTTAATGCTGAGAAAATAGCATGGGAGCCCTGCAGGAACTGTGCCATTACTGTGTTTTTCTTATCCCAGCTCGGTTCTCACACTAGCTGGAGCTCTTGCATCTACTGTACAATGAAAACATACTGTGGGAACAGCTGAAATTGCATCTCAGGGGAGGAGACGGGCTGCATTATCTCTTATTACCCAACTCCTTGCTCTCCAAACCCGTCTCACCCATCTTTGAGTCAAATCCACATTGCTCATGGAGCATTATCAGCCCTGAATGTCCCAGTCTATTTATTGTAAACAGGGAGTGGAGTAAGCAGCAAACAGGACTTCTACCCACAGAGAGCTGCAAAGGGCTTGCGGGGAAATCCAAGTCCAGAGAGGACAGCTAGTGCTCACTGAACTGAAAGAGTAGCCCCAGGTTCTTTCCTATAAATGAACAGAATGACAGGCAGCCTCCTGGGAGCTTTGCAGTGCTGCAGAGGAGCAGCCAGGCTTAAGCAAGAAATTCTGCACAGCCCGGGAGGTTCTGAATTAATGTAAAGTCTGAGCAAGAAAAATGCCCCACTTCTAAGTGGAAAAAGGTTTGTTCATCTAAATCCACTGTTCTCAATTTTTCCTCACTATGACCTCCACTTGAATTCTGTGAGACCTAGCAATCTTGCCATCCAGGCCCTGCACCTTACCCAAAGAGAGTGCGTAAATCAAGCTTAACCTGGAGACTCTATGGAGCACACTCCAAAATACTTGGTAGAAAGCATAGTCTGTGCAATGACCTGCTCCTGGGAGCCCTTGCACTAATGGTCATCAAGGAAGTGTCAGAACCAGCAAAATGATGGTGTCTGCCTCTGTGGCTGAGGGATGCTATTACAAAGATGTGTCTTTCTGGTCTTCTCTCCTGACCGTCCAGATCTCTCTGTCCCGCACCTCACCGCTTTTTTCAAGGGACTGAAGGCTAGACCCTTCCATTCATTCACTGTTGCATTCTTTCTTTCACTCTGAAATTGTTGATTGATGCTGGG